CCTCCCGGCCCCCCCCCCCCCCCCCTTTTCAGATCTCTAGCATGTCCCCTCTCTCCACTCTGCGACAGTCTCCTCTGTTACCTGTCTGCGGGCACACCTGTGTCACCTCAGATGTGGCTGTAAAGGGTCGGAAAGTTTTTGCGACTTGGGTCCTATGTGTGACAGAGCTCTCCCAGGGCTGATGGAGAAGTTCACAGAAAAAAGGGGGAGGGGTTTTTTTGAAATTTTTTCTTAGGAAGTTTTTGGTTGGGGGGGGGTGTGGGGTATGCTGCTTTACATTAAGTGTTGACCGGGGTGTCCAACTTGTGAAAAACAGAGTAAAAAACAAAACAAGGTCTAGAGCGCTACTACCAGTGGTGAAAAGAGTTTAGGGGTTGTTAGACCCAGGAGGGCATGAGGTCTTCATAGATGTGCTGTCATCGACGTCGGGATCTCTGCAGGTAGAAAGTTGATTGGAGGTAGTCTTGGGCCCCATTCAAATGCTTGCATTGCAAAGACTGGAATCGCGGAAAAATCCGCTCCAAAAAGGGTCCTGCTGTAGCGACGCACGACCCGCGACAGCAGGACCCTTTGCCCCATTGCCTTGGAGAGCGATATCGCGCGATAAATCGCTCAATGTGAACGGGGCCTTGTGGATTCTTCTGTATCGTTTGGAGTGTCACTGCTTGCTGGCCTTGTCGGTGTGCTGGTGGGTAGCGGCGCGGGATTGGAGAGGTGGCAATCTTCTCTGCTGGTGCCGGGGGTGTCCGGTCCGTTGATGGATGGGGGGGACGCTGATGGGGTTCCTTCTTTGAAGTGGTGGCGTCGGCGGGTTGTATCCGAAGTCTGGCCCGGAAGTGTTCGCTCGCTTGTAGTGAGACAGGCGCCGCAAGTTCCGGTCTGCCCGAAGAGGCGTCCCACACGCGGGACGGAAGTTCCTGTTGTCGTGGTTACGCGTTTCGAAGACGTAGTCTTCCTTGTCAAGCAAGGGTGGGGGAGTGGAAACTGGCGTCAGATTTTAAATGGATGGGCGGGGGGCGTGGTTATGACGCAATTGCGATACATGATGTGTCAAACGGCACTGTGCTGTAAAGGGTCCGCTCTCTATGTGGCTGCAGATAGGTCAGGCTACATACCTGTGTCACCAGTTCTGCTTCCTCTCCTGTCACAACACACGCACACAGCAGAGAGCTCGCCACTTCCATGTCACACAGACTCCACCCAGCGGCAAATCAGGCAGCTCAGCATGTGGGCTACACGTCGCAACCTGGGTTCTGTTAAGCATGTACTGCCAATCAGAGGGGGGGGGGGGGCTTTTCTGCAGCAAAGCTCC